TGTAAGTTTTGGCCGGCGATCCTCTCTTTATTTTTTTTTTGTCAAAATTTTTTTTTTCTTTGTGAAATCCGAGTCCTTTTTTTTTTTTTGAATAAACAAGTTGTGTTGAATTTAAGTTTAGGGTTTATAGTTTGGTAGTTTTGGCCAAGTGTACATCGTTTGGTAGTTTTGTTATTTGGCCGAATGTATATGGTTTGGTAGTCTTGTTTATTTGGCCGAATAATTTGAAGTTTGGTTTATTTGTTTTTTTTGGCCGAGTGTACATCGTTTGTTAGGTTGTTTATTTGGCCGAATGTTTATAGTTTGGTAGTCTTGTTTATTTGGCCGAATAATTTGAAGTTTGGTTTATTTGTTTTTTTTGGCCGAGTGTACATCGTTTGTTAGGTTGTTTATTTGGCCGAATGTTTATAGTTTGGTAGTCTTGTTTATTTGGCCGAATAATTTGAAGTTTGGTTGATTTGTTTTTTTTTGGCCGAGTGTACATCGTTTGGTAGTATTGTTTATTGGCCGAATAATTTGAAGTCTTGTTTATTTGGCCGAATGTTTATGGTTTGGTTGATTTATTTGGCCGAATGTTCATCATTCATACCTTGTGTAGGATTGAAATGGCGACGCCGGCATCGGGCTCCCAATATGAATATCAACCTAAACATCTTCACCCGGGACCTATACAAGATAAAATGCTATATCGTCAAACAAAGCATAGGTCCCAAGCTGTCTATGAGAACAGGATACCGGACATTAAGACATTCCGCCTCAAGGGCCGTAAGTACGACAGCGATTTTTGGGCGTTATATAAAAATACGGCACCGGAGGTTAAGGAAGTCATTAGGAGAGCCGGTTTTGAGGGGATCATGAAGGTAGGGTACAAAAGAGTTGATTTAGGCCTCATTACCGCGTTGGTGGAACGGTGGAGGCCAGAAACCCACACTTTCCATTTTAATTTTGGAGAGGCGACGGTGACGCTACAGGACGTCGAGGTCCTGTTTGGTATTCGGGTGGATGGTGACCCGGTGTACGGCATGACAGTTAGCCGGACTGCAGATGAATGGAGGGATCGATGTGAGGCTTATTTGGGATTCCGGCCGGCGACTGTAAATGGCCAATGTGTCAATGTTGGTATTTTCGAAGATGAGATGGGTCGTACACTACCTTCAAATTCCACTGTCCATCGATTCGAGCAAAGGGCCAGGACAATGATATTGCATTTTATTAGCAGTTTCATGTTTCCGAACAAGACGCAGAACACTGTCAATCTACAGTTCTTGGCCCAGGTTGAGGATTTGGATCAGTGTAGTCGATACAGTTGGGGATCGGCACTGCTGGCTGGGTTGTACTCTGGCCTATGCGAGGCATCACAGTATACCATGCACGACGCCACCGGGTGTCTATATTTGCTACAGGTACGTATTAGTTTTCATTTTGAAGTTTAATTATTTTGCGCTTTCGACGTTATAATTTGAAGTTTCTACATTATTATTGCAATTTACTAGGTATGGGCGTATGAGCGGATCGAGAGGATCGCGCCCCAAAGAAAAGGAGTAGATTATTTGCTTGATGAGACCGCTTCATTAGCTCAGCGGTACGTATTTTCAGTTCAAAATAACTCAACGTTTAATTCTATTTGTTTCTTATTCATTTATTTCACTAATTCAAATGTACCCCTTTGTTTATTAAGGTGGGAATGTAGGTACACGTACGGCGACGCCCCAAGGAGCAGCACTCCACCTTTTAGAGATCAATTAACAAGTCTGCGTGTTGAAGATGTAAGTACTTGTAATTTGGTATTTATATTTACTTTGAGATCAATTACCCCTTTCTTTTGGTTTCGGTTGTACCATCTAATGAAATTTTTTTCCTGTAGTTTCGATGGCAACCATATGCACATGTCCTCCATAGACTCCCTGATTTCTGTACACAAGGCCAAGCCATTTGGACGACTAGGTGTTGGATGTTCTGTTGGGCTATTAGGGAACCCCACGAGTCGGGCAGAGTCGTAAGACAATTTGGATACATACAGGATGTTCCCAAGCGCCCCATGATTAAAGATAACGCAGCATTCCTTCTCGATCACGCCCACAGTATGTCTGGGTATCCTAGCAATAATTGGGAGGATCACCATTCCATAGTACGCCGTCATTGGAATAGGAGAGAAGAGTTCGTGCTACGAGATTTGGAGGAAGGAGATCCTGGTTCCGTATATGAGGGGTACTATGAATGGTTTATGGTGAATACTGTCAGATTGATATCCAATCCCGGTAATTATGAACCTCAAGGATATGAGACTTCTTTGAGCCGCGTGAAATTATATGTGAGTTAATTGTAGATTTCTTTTATTATTTCTTATGTTTCCGTTTGTTTTTTTAATTTTTTTTTAAGAACTTTACTCTCTTAATTAACGTCCCAATTTCTTTTCAGGGTGAAGTATTGAACAACATTCGCGTGAGTACCGAGAGGTTTAGAGAAAAACGAGAAGATGATAATCTCCTAGACGAAGAACTTGACAAGCATTTGGACGATATCATCAATCAAACACATGCTGCTTTAACGTTGGGCGCAAATGATGAGATAGAGGTGGATGATACCCAAATCCTGGATGATGAAGATCCATTTTTTCCCTCACAACCTCCTCCGGGTAAAAAAGCGAAACCGTGGTCAAGAGATAAGATTGGAGGAGGAAGAAAGAGAAAGGTCACAATCCCCCCTCGGACATCGCAATAACAAACTGAGGGTCAACAAAATGAGGATCAAGCACATTCTTCTCGAGGCTCGCGCATCCAGGTCGAGACTCATTTTGAAGAAGCTGGTGGACCCGAGACTCAGTTTGACATTGGTGGACCCGAGACTCAGTTTGACATTGGTGGACCTGAGACTCAATTTGGTGGACAGTCGCAACCACAACCGGGAGTCAAATTTATCACCATGGGGGAATCCCAATCTCAACCCCAAATCGAGGCTCAGTTTGGTGGACAGTCGCAACCACAACCGGGAGTCAAATTTATCACCATGGGGGAATCCCAATCTCAACCCCAAATCGAGGCTCAGTTTGGTGGACAGTCGCAACCACACCAAAAGTTCAATACTCACATATCTTAAGAGGGGAGACAGGATCCGACAAGGCCCAAACAAATACACTCCGGATGCGCACAATAAAGGAAAAGGGAAAAAATGAGACATTTCATTATTTTGGACATTTATAGTAGTTTTTGTATTGAACTTTTTATGAAACTTGATTTATTTTATTGTTAATCGAATGCCGTTTATTGTTTTGTTGTTATTAAATTCCTATTTTCCAATGTTTCATTGTTGTTGGTGCTGTAAACATGTTTAGGACTGGTGAAAATCAGTCCAATTTTTTTTTTCAGTTCTGACAAAGACTCGGATTTGCGAAATCCGAACCCAGACTTTTTCTAAAGGACTCGGATTTCGGAAATCCGAGTCCGTGGCCAACTGGGAGTCATCATTTTTCAGAAAACAGAGCAGATTCGGATTTCGGTAATCCGAGTTCTGCCCAAATTTAATTTTCCAACACATTATTTTTTTTCTATCCGGAAATTAATATTTTATTGATAAAAACGGATTTATAAAATCCGGATTTAGATTAATTACACTAATTTTTGTCATTAACTTAATATCGGATTTACGTAATACAAAGTCGGATTTTGATAATCCGAGTTGAGTTGGGGTCGGATTTCCGAAATCCGAGTTTTCCCCCCATTCGGATTTCCTAAATCCGGGGCATATAAATTTGTCCACAATGTTTTAGAAAGCTTTATTTTTGTCCAGGTTTTTTTTTTCATGTATATTTAAGGAAAAAATTCTAACTGCATGTGGAATAACTTTTAAAATCACACAAGACAATTTTCTTCCAATGCTCTGCTTATCCTAACGTTTTTTTTTTTTTCATGATAATTTTGAGAATTGATGATGCTGCAAGAGGATTTTTTTATTGGTTTTGCCAGGAAATTGTGTGGCAGGGAATTATTACACGCACCAAATCTGGCCTTTAAAAAGTCAATTTATTATCGTAATTCATTATCGTATTGGCAACAAAGTATATTTCCATTTTCTTCGGAAAGTTTTGCATATTTCTTATTTAAGTTTATTTTCGTTTGCTTTGTATTGACAAGAATGAAGGTGAAGGTAGAGCAAGAAATGACTGGTTATTTCAATAATTGGATATGATTTTTTTTTATACATTATTTCCTTTAATTTTTGTAAAATAGTGAATATTCTTATAAAGAAAAAATGAAAACATGTATCTAGATTTTACAGTTTCGCCCTATAATTTTTTCTTTCTAAATAATATTTTCTTTTGTCAGTAATTTTTTTCACCTGTAATTTCTTAAGTTCTTTTACTGCATTAAAAATATAGTGCGACTCGAAAATAAAGCTTTCTTATTTTCATCTACACGATCACAAAAATTGAATAGTTAAAGTTGCTTAACATTAATAAATAAAATGTACATTTCCATCCTGCAATTCGTAGAATATTTATTAACAGTTTTAAGACTGCTCATCACATTCTTTCTTTCATCCAAATATTTTTAGTGAAAAGTTAAATTTATATTTTATTTACCCGCACATCGTGTAGGTTTAACATCTAGTAAATTATAATAGTGAAATATTTTTCTAAAACAGGAGAGTATATTTTTCATTCCAACACATTTTCTTACAATTCTAGTAAAACACATTTTCTTACAATTCTAGTAAAGGAGCACATGTTCTAAGAAAACATATAGTTGGACTAGAAAGAGTAAGATTATAGACATATAGTTCATCTGTACAAAAGAAATCCACATTGTAATTTATAATTTGTTTTTAATCCACATTGTAATTTATAATTTAAAAGAAAAACATTAATACAAATAATAAATTGCAATGTGAATTATTTTTCTTAGACAGGAGTGAGTAATATATTATTGCCTACATGTTCTTAAGAGTTCTTCCAAATCTATAGACCTCTATCATTTTCAACTCCCACTAGTCATTACTTCAAAGTTAATCACAAACTTTTATATTAGTTCTATTTTTCAATAGTAAAATTATTTTGTTTACGACACAGGAGCAAGTTTCTTGCTAAATTCCACGTCACCCAATTGCCCCTAACCTAGCGGCTCGGAAAGTGATTTTCTTCTGAGACTCAGGTTCGGAAAGTCTTCTCCTTTCTCTGCGCTCCCCAGTCTGCAAGGATCAGACTCAAGACTCAAATCTCAAACCTCAAACCTCAGCCTCGGAGACAATCCCCGTGTAATTTTCAGAGTCAGGTTTGGAAAATCTCCTCTTTTTTTTTTTTTTTTTCTTTTTCTTTTTTAAATGAAAAGAAAAAAGAAAAACTCGCGCGCTCTCACTCAATGGTTTTAGTCAATCAATGGCTTCTGAAATGTGTATGTTTCTTCTGCATTACAGAGGGAAGGAGAACTTTGGGAGATTTGAATTCAATTGCATTTTTGATTCATGGGAACTAGGGTTCCTGTTGTCGAGCATTATACTTTAAGAACCTCGAATTCGTACATCGGAAGTTCGTTGCACGATCTTAATGCCGACGACATAACTGGTGCCGCCGGCCCCGGCGGAGTTGTCGGTGACGGTGGGGTGGACCGCGGTGGCGATGACGTTACTGATGATAGCTTGGGTAATGACGACGACGACGACCCTGCAGCTGTTGTCAGTGTGAGTAACAATTTTAGTTTCTTTTTATTCATTCTACTCCGTTTTGAAAGGAATTTTGCGGCAATTGAGATAAAATGATACTGTGTGGACTTTGGAAATGTTAATGGGTTTATTCTTAGAATTGAGATTTCTGCGGCTTAGTTTTGTGGATTGTAGATTGATCACTATGTAAGAAGATGCTCTGTGTGCTAGATTGGAAAATTATTAATGTGGGTTCTGCCTTTTGGTTTCAAATAAGTTGCAGTAGTTCTTCTAATCCATATAGCATTACTTGTACACATTTGGTTTTATTGATATACGTGAAGAGAATTGTTTAATCATTCTTCTGTATACATAAAATGTCAGGATTGCATCCACGATTCGTATCGGAATGCGTTGCCTCTTCAGAGTGTAGGGACCGATGATGATCGATCTAGTCTTGAAACAGCAGGGTCTTCTAGAGGTTCCTACAATATTTTTACCCCAGAGGGTGAGTATCATTTGTTTATCGAAACAGAAGGTTACTTTCCAACCAGAAAAGTAGGCTAAGTTGATTATGTTACTGAAGTTCTGATCTTTGACATTTGAGTCAGATGTATCACCAATCGAGACAGCAAGGGCAAGATTTCTGGACATCATTGTGGACCACTTTATAAATCCACATTTGGTTGAGGTGTCAGATATGTCAGCTGATTATGCATCTCAGTCTGAGCAAGATAACTTAAACAAGAGAAGATTAAGGGAGATCCAGTATGAGGGTGATGCACGGTTTGTTTTGCCTTTAATGTATGTAGCTAACTTGTACGAAACGCTGGTGAATGAAGTCAACTTAAGGATCTCTTCTTTTAATGGGATGCGTGAAAAGACTATTGGTGTAGCTCTCGAAGCTGCTGGTGGCCTGTATAGAAAGCTTGCCAAGAAATTCCCTAGGAAAGGTATGATTGAAAATTTCATACTGATGAAGATTGTTAAGCTACAACTAGTTAACTTCAGTCTTGACCTGGAAAGTGTGTGTTGAATGACTTCTTACGCTCTCTATTATTATTATTATCTTAGTATTATCAGTTGTTTCTGTATGTGGGTTCGGGGAACTCATGTATAGTCTGTTGCTAACATGAGTTCATCGCACCCAAGTTTTGGTTCCTGTTTTCTATTGCTTGTATGCTTCAACACAAAAAAAGATCTGATGGACAGAATGGAAAAATGCCTACTTTATTGAGTTCATTTATCGAACTTTTTAAACTATGTCTTGAATATTAAGAGATCTTAACAACCATGAGCTATCTCATTTTCAAGCAGGACCATGCAGTTTTAGAAGACGTGAATTGGCAACTTCTCTTGAGACAAGATCAAGATTTCCTGAATTAGTGGTACAAGAGGAGAAGCGTGTTCGTTTCGTGGTAGTAAATGGTCTATCAATTGTTGACAAGCCAACAAATATGCGTAATGATGATGCTGAGTGGTATGCTTTTGATCCTTCTCAAGTACAGTGCTAGATGAGCAGCTGCTCATTGTAGTTTCTGATTGAAATCTTCTTCTTAACCAGTGCCTCTCGTGCGAAGGTCCTGACTCCTGAGAAAAAATATCTTTGATTTGATTTATTCTTGTGGAAGTTAAATATGTTTAAAATGTTCTTCACAGAAAATGTGAATCAGCTTTGTGTTGGCATGTTTTTTATTTGAGTAATTTGTCATTAGTTAGTCAATTAGCGTCAAGCCCTGCAATTTGACATAATTTTGCTGCGTTTGCATGATGTTTCTTTTGAACTCAGTAGAGTCTGGTTTTCAATTCTTAATGTAGCAGTTGAAGGGAAATAAGGATTGCCATACCCTTGGATGACAAATAAAATAATTAAAAACTCCTTTGGTTCTGCTCTGGCTGTTTTGCTTGGTTGAGTAAGATACTAACGAAACTGTTAAATTTAGTACTGGATAGTTATGGTAGGCTTCTGTATGTTTTCCTCTTTGGTTGTTGAAGATCTGACATCCTAAGGCACACAATGTTCCACTGGTATTTCAGAGCAAAACAGAAATATCACTCAGTTGCGCTGGACCGGGCAAAACATTTCTTCCAAAATGAGTAGATCCTTTTTTAGGTTACTTCAAAAGCCTCAAAAAACTTGGAAACATTTACCATTCTTGGGTTTGGCAGTTATTTGGGGTTCTAGTATCAGGATGCCGTTGTATGGCTTCATTAGGCAAGGAACATCATCAACATTATTAGTTCTTTCTACTTGGAATATATGCTTAGTCTTTTAAAGATTCATGATGATGTTTTCTCTTGTCCCTCAACAAAAATCCCGACTTGAAACCTTTTGGTTTGGTCACTTATTTGATTCATTCTTATCTAAACTCTGGATATTAGTAGTCTCAAGGGTGATAAGATTTTGACTTTTGTGAGTACGCTTAACGAGACTGCTTTCGGTATAGGTTTAGGAGATTAACAGGACGTACTGAAGTTGCCGTGTCGGCTGGAGATTACAAATTTTATGCCCCAAGGCACAAATACAGACGTGCTGGATCAAGCAATGTTCCCTGTATTCCTGGTTTGCCTGTAAGCTTTGATATCCCTCTGGCTTTTGTTTACTTTACCGTCATGTGTGTTAACAATTCCTGTTTTGTTTTATTATTGTTCTAGTCATTCCCTGGCGTGGACTCTTCTCCTATGCCTTCGGCTCAGGGTTACCGATCCGTCAATGAAGTAAGATTCTTATCGACTCTCAGGGGTTTCCATCTTGATGCTTTTTTAAATTCCCCGATAAGATTTATGTCTGACTCATTGTAGTTTGGAGAAGGGCTGTGTGTCACCAGTGTTTTAGGTTCATATATATTCTTTCGACTGGCTGTCGAATTACCGGTCTTTCTTCATAATCACGCAGTGCATCAGTTTTCCTCTGTGTGTGTGTGTGTGTGTGTGTGTGTTTGAGCTGACATGATCGACATCCTAATACGTTTCGTAAATTAATTATAACAGTGGTGTACTATTCAGACTGTAATTTGCATTCATCAGTGTAAATGAAATTTTACTATTCTGCTGCATTGTCTTCACTGTTATATACTCCCTCTGTCCCACAAAAATCGGCCACATTGTAATTTGCGAATTGTACTAAAAACAGTACAATTCACAAATTGTAATGTGGACTAATCTTTTGGGATGGAGTATTTTATAGGAGGGACCTTGTTCACTTGCAAATTCTTTTTGTGCTTTGTCAGAATGGTGCTTTGTGCTATTTTCATTGCATTTTGAGTTTCTTCTGATCTACATTAAGGGTTTGGTGCGCCTTCAGTGGATTAGCATTCTGGTTCATACTGTGGACTAACTACATTTTGTCTTTATTACTTTTTCTAAACCAAGATCACCATTTTATGGTTTTTGGGTGTGCCGGAGGAGGGTGGTGTGGGGGTTGGGCATTTTGGTGGCCGTTGAACCCTAAGAAAGATTAATGACTTGACAAGACAAATTTTCTATGGTGTCGTTATGCCATTGATCTTTTCTGCTGACAAATATGTCATTGCAGCATATTTAGGCAGCCTAACCTGGTTTGTTTCCTAAACACATCCTTCATTTCTAATTTGATCAAGTGCTTGATGATACACTAAAAGGATTGCAATGAAATATGGGTGTTATGTTGCTGTGAAAGCAATTTTCCTCATACGATAGTTTGATGATACACTAGCCAACTTTTCCATGATGTTGGCATCTTCATATAAGGATTTCACTATTGATGGTCTCCTAGCATTATTTATTGGGCTTTATAGAGATATGAAATATGGTAATTCTATTTCAAATAATAATAATAATAATAATAAAATGGTAGTTTCTTTCTTTTGCAAAGTTTGCTATTCAATAATTTAGTAGCTGCTTTGATTTGACGTTGTCTTGAACACTTTAAAGCCTCAGAGTACCAGCCATCAAAGTCCATCAAAACAACATATGCAGCACCTACCTCATCAGCCTCAATTCCATCCTCTGCAGCAGAATCATCAACATCACATTGACCAGAGTCATCAAGCACACTACTCCCACAACCAGCATTGTGGTGCACCGCACATGTCTGATATCACGCACCCCCAACAATCTTCAGGCATCCATCAACATTTGGCTTGCATGCCAACATTAGGTCATGTTGGAGGTCGTCTGCATGTATTGGTGAGATTTTTCATATGTTCTGAGATCATCTTTATACCTCCTGCGTGGTTTTCTTTCTTTGTTGGTTCTCCAACCTTTAGTCTGCTTTTAGTGATTTTTCCTACTTCTCGAAGACTTTCTTTACTAGTAATCACATATAGTATGAACTTTGAGTAGGTATTATTGTGGTGACTAAAGAGCGATTTGCATTAATTCTTTCATCACGAATTCATTCAAAGTCATTTGTCTCTTTGACAGTTGTAATGGACCTTTTGCCGAATTTGACATTTTTATTGTACTCTATATTTTGCAGCCAACTAGTCCTGCAAAGTACTGTGATGAATGTGGAACTCCTTATTTGAGGGAGACTTCAAAATTCTGCTCTGAGTGTGGCACCAAGAGGTTAGGAATATGAGATGATATTCAGAAGCGTAATTCCTTAGTTGTACATATGTAAATGTAGGTCGTTCTTTGTCTGCTTTATTGATATATGTAGAATATAGTATTTCTGAAGAGAGAAAGGCTTGTGTAGGAGTGTCATTAAGAAGGTGACATATGCTGTTGAATTACATATGAGTTTGGGCAAGGAAACTCGATTATTTAGAGATTTAGATGTTCTAATATTTGTACATGTATGTGCTTTCTTCTCTTTTGTAACAAAACTTTTGAAGAAAAGCTAGAAGCCTTGAAATTCCTTTCCTGGAAAGCTTCTGATGGTTTATGGTAAAGAGATGTCAATTCATAATAGCTCTCTCGATTATGCTTCCGCCAATTTTATTAGTTCGTTTTTATTATCTTTTTTTAGTTTAATATGTGAACTAGTATTAAAATAAAACAAATGATGAACGAGAAACTTGTTTGGCAATATATTTTGGGTGTATGCATAAATTCCAAAACATTTTTTTTATTATTATTTAGATATTGTTACTCATTTTAAATATTATATATTCACAGCATCCATTTACCTTTCTACATTCTCCATATTAATTTATCATTTTGTTTTCTTAACAAAAAAATTAAGTTGACATTCACATCAAAGACTTGGTGTAAAAGTAGAAAAACAATTCACTGATTCCCCCACCAAACAATTCAGTATTTAGAGAAGAAAAAAAAAAAGAAAAAGAAAACTAAGAACATGTACAGTAGTTGTAGGAAGAAAGGAAGATCCTAAATACAATTTGACCACCAATCTGTATTCAACGATCAAACTTTTGAAAAAATTTATCGAGACGGAAATGCCGTAACTTGCAAATATAAAGGGCTAAAGTGATATACTGCAGTGGAAAAAACTAAAAAGAGACTAAATGTCTACATATTTAAAGTTCAAAGGACCAAAAGAAAAATTAAACAATTCTTCGCCTTGAAATGGTGGGAGAGTCGGGGAAAGCAAAAAGCTCTCAACATTTTGGTGAAGCCACCAATACTACAATCAAAACCGCCGCTCTATCGCAGAAAATCAACAATAACACTTCCAAAAATCGACGGTAACCTTTGGGGCTCTCTCAAATTCTCCGCATTTAGAATGTTGATTTGGCTTTTCGTTTTTGATTTGTTTGGGTAGTGTGGATTTTTATTTAATTTTTATTTTTTCTTAAAAAAAAAAATCTAATTTTGAATAGAGCTTTTTGATTTAGTTTCAGTTCTTACCAAATGCTTTCATTCTAAGAGCATTGCTGAAATTTCACCGTACACGATTTTCCGGTGTTCCTTGGTTTTTCAGTGTGAAATTTTCCATTGGCCGTCGAGTTTTCTTTAAATAGTCATATTTTGGGGGCCTGTGAATAATGTCATTTGTTGTTCAAATGTTGTCCGTCAATGCCAGCGATTATGAACCTTGATGTAGAGGATTTTTGGGGACTAAACCAGTTAGAGTTGTCAGTGTATTTGATGGACTTTCGGTTGCACATAAGATGCTTGAGAAAATGTGTTAAGACTGGCAAAGCCTAATAATTCTGATATTCGTGTATAGAATTATTGATTAAGGTGCTTAAGTGGTTTCTGCTTTTTCAATCTTTCATAAAACTCTTCTGGCAATGAGTAGGAGGGGATTGAACCCTGGTGTATTCTGAAAGTTTTGAAATATCATTGAATGTGTTTCTATTATGAAAAAAATTCATCCCTTTTTGAGGCCATTAATTCCTTTTGTACTTACTGTCATCTTTGTAGCTGTGGTAATCTTTCGTTTTAATTTCTTCTCCTTCTGTTGAGAATGGCCTTAACGTTTTCTTGTTATCATTGGTGATTGCAGACATTTTTGGGGGTAATCATGTCTGTGATAAGAGCTATTGGTAGGACACTTTTTTCTGCGGCAAAATCAGAAACTTCACCATCTGCTACAGCCGCAGCTGGTGCTTATAGAACTACTGCCCGTCACAATCCTCTTGAGGAATTCTTTGAAGTTCACAGAGAAGTAGAGGGTGAAAAACCTAATGTATATGGTATGACATGTCTTTCTTTGTTTTATAATTTTTATGTATCTATTTAAATTTTGGTTTTTGATGGGCTTCTTTTAGCATCGTTTCAACTCTGTTTGGATTGATTATTCAGTCTGTGTCCGTGTGTGTGTGTGTGTGTGTGTGTGTGTGTGTGTCTGTGTGTTTGTTGGGAATGTTAAAATCTTTAGTGATGACTGAAAAAGGTGCTATGAGAAGTAAATTTATTAATGAAAAATTTCTTAAATGACCCAAAAGAAACTAGTGAAAATATAAAACAAAGGAAATAATACCCGGGACTTAAGAAGAATGGAGAGAAAAGGACTTGTATGATCTTGCATTATAGGTGTTGCTTTTCATTTCTTTTCGTTTTCTTCCTTCTTTTTGCCCATTGTTCCCATTTAGTCTTGAGGTATAATCTTTTTACTTCAAGTAAAGAAAACGGTTGACGTGCACTTGGGCAACCGCTCAAGACCAACCTTATAGCACGCTTTTCTTATAGGCTATTAGCCGAGGGCCAACAGCAAGATAATCTTCCAAATTATGATATTTGAAATCTTTTGTTGCCTATTTCTCTCACTTCTGTCTTTTTATCCTAGAGCTAGAAATCATTTAGTTAAGTGTTGTTCTTCCATTTTGTTGCTTCCTATGATGAGGTTGTGCACAGTACGGGCCATGTTTTGTCCTGCTCAATGTAACGAACTAGTTGCTTTTGCATTTGATTGTACTGTGATCATCGGACTTTTTGAAATCATTTCAGCCTTTGCATTCAGGAAATAACTGCCAACCATTTTTTTAGGCAGGGGTTGGAAAGCTTCTGAATTGCGCCTTAAATCATGGGATGATCTTCATAAGCTTTGGTATGTTTTGTTGAAGGAGAAAAACATGTTAATGACTCAACGTCAAATGCTTCATGCTCAGAACTTGCGATTCTCAAATCCAGAAAGGATCTCAAAGGTATGTAATTGTATCAGTTCCTTGGGGGGCTTCATCATGATTTATGTAATCAATCTGCTGCTCTACTATTCTTGGAAGAGGCTGCCGAAAATAGAGCTTCTTCTCTTCGGGTTCCTTTTCCTTTGTTACATTGAAAAAATTGTTGGCTATTCCGTATGTTTATGGACGTTAGGTTACTTTCCTTGGCAGTTATGGATCAACAATTCTTAAAATCTAATTAACTTGTATTCCTTCCCTATATTCTGAATGCATTTAAATGTTAACTTAAGCTGAGAAGTAAATACAAGTACAAACTTAAGCTGAGAAGTAAATACAAGTACAACGCACACATCTTGCCTATATGAAAGTTCTAATTTTATTGGTAATGCGTTTTCATTCCTTTTTTTTTTTTTTTGAAACCTCTAGGTAAGTAAGATGTAAAGTTCACCCTGCATGCTCTGTTTACTCGGTCAACTTACAATGAGGTTAAAGCAAAAGCGTGATATATGTTTCCTATTAGCTCTAAGCTCTTTGTCATGATATAGAAAATCCCTTCCCATAAAACAGCATGGAAGTGATTCATGTTTACAACCATTCATGTATGCTCTAGGGAGGGTACTCTTGCAGGTCTTTAATGTGCGACTGGCTTGGCTCTTGAGAAATGTCCTTTGGCATAGTTGCAGTAGATAGATGCTCCTCTTCGTTCTATCTCTTTCACAGACCTGGTAGAAAAGATGTTGCTTGTAGGTGTGCAGTAACTTTTCACAGAGTTTTCAAGAGGAAAACTTGTTAGTGATCACATTTCGATCTTGTATAATGTTTGATTTTCTAAAGCCTGTCAAGGCGTTGGCATGTTTTTCTAAATTTCCTTTCTTAAAAAGAAAGTATTTCTCTTTCCACCATTTGATGCACTTGTGTGTCTTGTATAGGCTTTCTGGACCAGTATATATCCATAAAGTATTTCTCTTTCCACCACTTCTTGTACTTGTGTGTCTTGGTTGGACTAGTGAGTGATTTGTTCAACCAGAACAGATCTCAGAAACCCTTCTATACCTTTCCTGTGGATTATCCTGTTTCATGATGAAAGACTTCAAATTGAATTAGAAACCTAGAGTTGTGATTTGTGCTAGAAATATATTAATCTGATTCATTTTTCGGCTTGTAATCCGGTATTTTTACTTTGGATGGATTTTCACTTTTTCTTGTTTAACTGGTAGCTGTTAAGCCATAATTCCTTGCAGTTAATTAAATTTCCCACTCTGGGGATGCGGAAAAAGTTGAAAAATTGGCAGTACGAACTATGTTTAGAAACTAATGACAGAATCTTTAGCTGTTCAACTTTTTCACAGTAGGTCGTGGTCCCTGTCTTCTGTGTGCAGTAAGGACAAATTTAACTGATAGTATACTTTTTTGGTCTAATATTTCTGAACCCTGAGGAACTTTTCAATCATTGTTCTCTCTATTTCTGTAGCAACTGAACTAAAATGGTTCCACCCCTGCTTTAATTGGCTAGCGAGTGGAAGTTGCAACTATGGAGATATGAAACAGTCTTTGGTGACCTTATTCTATTAGTTTCTGCTTGTACCCATCCTAGAGAAACGTAATTGTCACTTTTCCGCATGAATGCTTGTTTGTCCGGTATATGTTTATTCTCAACACCATTATGCTTATAACTTCTCCATTTGGCCCTACATGCAGGTGAAAAAATCCATGTGTAGGATCAAGCACGTATTAACTGAGAGAGCAATTGAAGAACCCGATCCACGAAGGTCTGCTGAGATGAAAAGGATGATAAATGCTTTATAGTGGCTTTTGGTTTTAGTTGGTTGGAAAAAGCGTGGTTGTAGATGAAGCGCGCCCTCTACCTTCTGGTTGAGTTGATCAGTTAATGTTTTTACCGGGGGTTTCATGAACGTATTATGACTATGGAAAGATAGATTCAGTGATATCATTGTCATTTGGTGTTTTCGTTATGAAGACCTAGTTGCTAAAAATATTTGTTCTGTGGAATTCTTGCTTTTGCCCTGATAATATTGGTGGGCTGTAACATGTTAGGAAAAGGGCGAATTGAAATCAATTGTCCCCTACTCAAAAGTCAAAACGGAATATGGAAAACGCACTACATAAATATTTTGTGAAAACTGATTATTAATTTTTTTTAGTCACTCAGTGTAGTTTAACTATGGTGAGTTTACAAAACATTATGAGGCGGGGGGACGCCATTTGGAATGCAAATTCTTTTAATTTTTTTTTTGGGCGAACTACAATTTACCCCCGAGTTTTGGCCACTTAACAATTGACGAGGCTTAATTTGATTGTGTTGGAGATTTCAACTCACCCCCTGAAGATCAAGTGTGACTGGAAAGTAAATGCACGCTCTCGAAACCAACCTATGGGAGATCCAATGATGCATAATTTGCCTTGAAGCTCTTCTTATTGTTGGAAAGGTTAAATTATCTTTCATTATAGACGTACGCTAGAAAACTATCCCTTATGGCTGGTTTAAGCTTTTCACATCTTTTTATAATTGTGCTAACAACTCATTTATTTTTTTCAGGGTACTAAATTACTCGCATATTAGGACAACATGGATAAAGTCATAAAAAGATACAAAACACAATGTTGCGTGCAGGTACAATGAACCCTGATATCAAACTTTAATTTGCAAAACGCCCGTGCAAATTACCGTACAAACAAAGTGGAGTAGAATACAAAATCAACTTCTTCTGTAACTCACTGGTAGAATTAAACGACATTCAGAAGTATGGTTTTAATTTGAATTCATGGTGAAGGCACGATCTTGAACAATCCTTTTTCCATGAAATATCTGGCAGATAAGAAAAACCTTCTGTTATTATGTTTCAATGATGCTTGAACAACTAACTTTCGAATTCCATTTGTAGTTTCTAAAACCTATTATCCCGGGGATGATGTGAAGATCTTTGAAAAGGAGGATACATTCTACGTCTTTTTTCATTGGTAATGAAATAGACAATATCATCCTGGCTGTTTCTTCAAATAATTACTCTTTAATATATCTTTCCTACATTCTAATCAAATCGCCGCTACAAACGTATCTTTTTCTCTTCTATTTTGCATTCTGTTTGAAAAAAAAGAGAGATGTACAAGTTCAATGTCATTTTAACACAATTTATATTCTGCAGCAAGCAATTAACCAGCATGTTTTGTAAGAGACCCGAGAAAAGAAGTCCAAGCACATGTAACTCCATGAATAATCAGATTTGGTTTTTGTTTAACTCGAAAGTTTTTTATTTTGATCAATCCACATGCAAAAGGTTTGCAGGTATCTTATTGGAATAGGAAGCTGATTTTTGTTGCTTTGAGAAGAAGCAGCCAAGTAGCTGCACAAAGAACAACATAGAAGGGTAACATCACCAGTCGGAGTACGTAAAAATTAAAAAAAAAAAAAAAAAGATCTAGGTCTGTTAGAAAATTGAAATTCGATCCCTAAATACCAATGATTCGTTTGGTTATTTGTATGGATGGCAATTTATTAGGTAAACCCGAGGACACCATACCCTCCTCCTATTTTTTGCATTACTAGTCTTTATTGTATTTTTTTTTTACTTTTTCTAATAATCTTCCTATTATTTGTAAGTTTAGTCCCTGTCACTTTTTTCTCTCTCTTCTAAAAAAACATCTCTAATATTCAAACGATCATATCTCTCAATGAAGAATTAGAAAACGTGTTACACATGAATTTTATAATACTCGTCGAGATCTATCCAACAAGATCCATGTCGAATATTTTTTTTCGAGTTTAAAAATGACTAAATTTTGATGGGCAGAATAAAATGGACATCTAGTTTAAAAAGATGGATAACCAGTTTAGTTTAGATTAAGATTCTTGTATTGCATATATCTCTTGATCCGTAAAGAATTAGAATACGAATTAATAAAATTTATAGTGCTCGACGAAATCTATCCGATAAGATCCATGTTGAATATTTTTTTTGAACTTTAAATGCATTTAAATTTTACGGACAGAAATGAAGAAATGTGTTTTTCGTTTTTCTTTGAAAAATGGTTATCCGTTGTATTCCTACTGATTATCCAACCGGTTTGGACTGATTATCCATTCTGTTTGTACTTGTTATCCAATCATATTTTTGACATTGACTCTTCAAAAAAAAAAGAAAGAAAGAAAAAATAATTGGATAAACATTGCAAACAATTTGGATAATCAATAGAAAATAATTGGATAATCAGTGCAACACGTTGGATAATCAGTACAAAAAAATTTGACAATCATTTTCATAAAAGAGCAAGGAAAAAAAATACGGGATAACCACCACAAAGAAGTTGGATAATCAATATGAACACATTGGATATCCAATTTAAGAAGATGGATAACCAACTTATTTTACATTCATATTGTTGTGTTCCTTATATCTTTTGATCCGTAAAGAATTATAACACGAATTATATATGAAATTTATAGTGCTCGACGAGATCTATCCGATAAGATCAATGTTGAATATTTCTTTTGAACTTTAAATGCATTTAAATCTTACGGGCAGAAATGAATAAACTGAAAAATGATTATCCGTTGTGTTCATACTGATTATCCAACCGGTTTGGATTAATTACCTATTTTGTTTTATCTAATCATATTTTTTACAATCACTTTTCAAAAAAAGAAAAAAATAAAAAAGAGGAAGGATAACCACGTTAGTTTGGATTGATATTCTAGTATTACATATATTTCTTGATCCGTAAAGAATTAGAACACGAATTATATATTAATTTTATAGTACTCGACGAGATCTATCCAACCGGTTTGGACTGATTATCCATTTTATTTGTACTTTTTATCCAATCATATTTTTTACATTCACTCATCTTAAAAAAAAGAAAAGAATAAAAAATAAAATATTTGGATAAGCATTACAAACAATTTGGATAATCATTGAAAATAATTGGATAAGTAGTACAAGCTGGTTGGATAACCAGTACAAAAAAATTGGACAATCATTTTCATTAAAAGAGCAAGGGAAAAAAAAAGTCAGATAACCATCCATCACCGAGAAGTCGGATGGATAATCAGTATGAACACATTGGACATATTTTTTCTCAAAAGAAGAAAAAAAAAGAAGAGAAACTATGTTTGGATAATCAGTGAAAACGATTGGATAAGGCATACAAAATGGTTGGATAGTCAGTACCAAAAAACTGGACAAGGATTTTCGTAAATAGTAGAGAAAAAAAATGGTCGGATAATCTATACAGAATAGTTGGATAATCAATACGAACGCGTTGGACAACCATTTCTTTTTTTAAAAAAATAATAATAATAAGAAAAACCAAATGGATGGATATCCAGTACAAACCAAATGGATATCCAGTACAAACAAGCGGGATATCCATTACAAACAAGTTAGAAAGGCATACAAACCAAATGAATGAATATCCACTACAAACAAGTTGGATAAATATCCAGTGCGTACAAACAAGTTAGATAGGCATACAAACTAAATGGATGGATATCCAGTACAAACAAGTTGGATAGGCATACAAACCAAATAGATGGATATCCAGTACAAGCGAGTTGGATATGCATACAAACCCGTTGGATTACAACTACAAAACAAGTTGGATAAGCATATAAACCAAATGGATGGATATCCAGTACAAGCGAGTTGGATATCCAGTACAAACGAAATGGATATCCAGTACAAATAAGTGGGATATCTATTACAAACAAGTTTGATAGGCATACAAACCAAATGGGTGGATATCCAATACAAACAAATTGGATAACCAGTTCAAACTGATTGGATAATCAGCATAAACACAATGGATAACCAATTTAAAATGAATTGGGTTATCCATCTTTCTAAACTAGATATCCATCTTATTTTGCCCATCGAAATTTAGTCATTTTTAAACTCGGAAAAAATATTCGACATGGATCTTGTTAGATAGATCTCGATGAATACAATAAAATTCATGTGTAACACGTTTTCTAATTCTTCACGGATTGAGAGATATGATCGTTTAAAGATTAGAGATGTTTTTTAAATGAGAGAGGAAAAAAAAATCAAAGGGACTAAACATGTAAATTATAGGATGTTATTTAGAAAAGTAGAAAAAAGTGTAGTAAGGACTAGTAGTGTAAAAAGTAAGAGGGGGAGTATGGTGCCCCCGGGTATACTGGATAGAGACTCTATTTGGACGTTTAGGTAGCGACTGATGTCCTATATTTCTTGTATAGTATCTCTTTCTTTTTTTTTCGTCCTCGATTGTCATGAATAGTATTTTCATGCGTAGATTGTCACGAATAATAGTATTTTCTGGCTAACTCTAAACTCTTACATTTAAAAATATATTTTAATCGTTTTTTTATTATTCTATTTTTTTCCATCCCAAAAAAATTAATTAATTTGAATTTTAAGGATATATTATTATATAACTTCTGTAATATTATTTTACACGTTCATTTATAATGTATACTGAGTTATCAGAACATAGTGTGATACACTTATTTTTACACGTCACAAACTATTTTCAATTACTTAGTGTTATATAATAATTAATAATATATGCAGGTGGGGTGATTAGGAGATTATGATGAGAGATGGTTATTACTGAGAGGTCGAGAGTTCGATTTTCACCGGACATCCAATTTTTTTTTCAATTAATAATGTACTAGATGTTAAACCCGCGCGATGCGCGGGGTAAATATAAATATATATATATATATATATATATGAATTATTTTATAAATATTCAAATTGAAAAAAAAAATTCAAAAATTGTCAAATTTTAAAAGTAACAAAATTTTCTTTCAGTTTATGCATGTGAAGAAGAAATAGTTGTCATGCATGATACAACTTAGAATGAGTCGACATAAAAGAGGGTGAAAGATTAAGTACAAAAAATATATATATATGATGTTCTAATTTAAATTTAATTGTAACACAATTTATAATAGTAATAACTAATGTTAAAGTTGGTTCATATAATTGTGGATGTATAGCCTAACATTTTTTATTATTATTTATTATAATTATTTAGCTTAAATTTAAAATACGCTTTTATTATTTTTTCTGGTTAGTGATTCGTTTTACCCATTTACTGTGTAAAAATTAGGAATAACAAAAATAGATTCTAATTTGGAAGAGTTTCATTTAATAATGATAATTAGTTTTGCAATCTAACAAATGCACATGAAATGAATCACTAATAAGTATTAGATTTGCCTCCACTGTAATTTACTTTCGTCAATACTCGGTTGCTCAGATATAATTTTACTGCCCTCTTAAATTTTATGTTTCTTGAAAGTGTTTCTGGAATCTTATATGTCTTATACCTGTAATAAGAAAACGACAACTAAAGCCAATATCAATTTCAATCATATTTAATCTGGTCACATGAGTAGGAAAAAAAAAGCAAAACTTATTACAATAGGTAAGAAAATGTGAGTTTGTGCTAGAATTTTCAATTTGATATAACAATGTCTCAATATATATAGGTACATAGTAATCAACCTCTTGTGTAAGATAATTATTAATGATTTAGGTTAATTTCAAATTTTGAATTTTGAAACAATTTTAGATTCTTTAAATACTGGGATTTGATTTCATAATTGTAGGTAAAAATTGATTAATTTTTAATAAACTTCTTGGCCATTATGGTTAAATTAAAAATGATGATTGATAACTGATTGGAATATGGTAACGTAAATGGAATGCATCCCTTTTTGACCATTATAATTAAATTAAAAATGTTAATATCGTATTCCAATCAATTACGTTGGGATATTTTGGGGATTATTTTGGGGGAGAGATTGTTTATTTTTTAGAATTGAAAGCCCATTTGTCCTCCAAAATAAATTCGTCGCATTGATGTTACATAATTCTCGTACATTAAATTTGATTAGTTTCTATAATTGAATTATCGTCTTGTCATTTTGAACTTATGATCTAAATCTATCCAGTAGTAATTGTGGAAATTATCTTAGGGAGGGATTGGAGTATAATTAAGTGTCAAAACTTACCCAATTAAGTGCACCAAAAATAAATGGGATTAGGTTATTAATTATTACCTTGATTTTTGGGAGTGAGATTAATAATTATGGATATATTTAATATTCATTGATTTGGATAATTATGATAAATGTGTTAATATGTTATTACTGATTTTTTTAGGGGTTATTAGCCAACTGTTGAAACTTTTTTCTCTAAATTTCAAGAAATTGCCACGTAGAATTTTATCTTATGTGACGTAAATTTTTTTTTCCAAAACATCTCTCTAATTTCTCTCTTAGTATAAGATACTATACATAAATTGTTGCAATTTGTATAGTTTTGGTATTATGTGGATTTTTTAGCCATGAAAGCATAAATTTTAAAAATTAATTGTTAGCTTTTTTAAAAAATTTGCCACATAGAATTTGTCCCACATTGCGCTATAGCATAATAGATAGCTCCTTATTTTAGGTTAGTGAAAAATAAAAACCACTATTCTTTTTCCAATTTAAAGAGTTTCAAAACAAAAGAGGGTTAGAATAATGATGAGAGAATTGATCAAGTCGAGGTTTTATTTTTTTTATTTGAAATTTATTTTAAATCTTCATATAATCAATAGTTGTGATGTTGTATATTTAAGACGCGATTCAAACACACAACATACGATTAAGGTTAGCAAAAATGTTAGTAACTTGCCAATAAAGGACATTTGCGACATGAAAAATAGGAACTAAATTTTATATTAAAAAACAAAGAAAATTTCCGAAATTTTTTTATATGATTAATTTGATGATCTATATAAAAAAAATTTATTGATCTGTGTTTAAAAAAAGAAGTCATATGGGAATTCTGTATCAAAGAGAAAGATAAAGAAAAAGAAAATGCCACGTTTTTTGCTATTATGAATTTTTTTTTTGCTCCTCGAATAAACATGCCATGCTGAATTAATCATTACAGGAGTTAGTTTTTATTTTTCATTTTTTTCGGGTGGACAGGGAGAAAATTTGTTTGATTCTTGGAATATGTTTACCGTTAAAATGATGTAGTCTAAATTTACAGATATAACATTGATCACTTTTATTTGTATATAAGCCAAAAATTTAAAAATTGTTAAATGACATTGAAAATTTGATGAACAAATTCTCCAGACTACACCATAATGGTTGTAGATTTATTATATTTTTCATCAATTGTATAGGGTAGTGTGTCAAAATCTTACCTAAATCACAAATATTATGCCTTTGGATATTATGGAGAAAAACAACACATTATATTAAAAAAACTCAATATCAAGAAAAATACTACTGTAAGTTTCTGGCTATTTTTGACCTTTCAAATATTAACATTTGGTAGCAATCTTGGAATTCATCCCATTACTAGAAGCTATGGATTACAATACATCACTCATGCTGCATTTTTTGTGAAAAGAAACGTGGCTTGTTTTTCTGGCATTAATGCTATTTTTTTTTTCACAAACACAACAACAATCAATGATTTTTCAGCGATCATCACTTTCACCGCTTGTTCCACCAGAATAATAAAGATTTAAACCTGTAATAATCTTTTTCAGATTTTTTTGTGGAGAGAGGGGGAGGGGGAAGGGGGAAGGGGGGAAAAAGTGCAATATGAGAATGGGTAGAGAAGTGAAATAAGTATGGTATTTTTATACAGGTCTCTTGAGCCTGATTAATGCTTATCCGATCACGAAGAGGTCTTCTCAAAGCCCAAACAAAAAAAAAAGGAAAAATGAAAAAAAGAAGAAGATATGATTTATGCTTGAAGTTTGAATAAGATTTCGATGATTCCTAATTAATTTAGAGGATAATTCTTGATTGATTTGGTTATCAGTATTTATGTTCTAAAGACAATCTTCTTTCTCCTTAAATTGATTTATGATGATTGAATTGTTATTATGTTATTTTTAATTTAAGGGGATCGTTATTGAATTTTTTTTAGTCGACTACAATTTCAATGCATATGTTACGGCAATGGAAATAATTACAATGCATTAATATTGATTAACTCTTCCCAAAATTACTAAACTTGATTTGTCCCGTCCATTAACTCGTTCCAATTTTTAATTTTTAACTAATATTTTAAATGCGACTTGATGAATTTTATTTAGAGAAAATTCCAAGGACTATTAGTGTAATTACATTGAATAATATTTTAGCCATTCATTATAAAAATGACACGTAGGATTTTATCCTAGGTGACACCTTTAGAAATCTCTTTTGAGTCTCTCTGGTTTCTCTCTTACTATAATATATAATAATATAATAATAATAATAATATATACTATAGGCAGATAGATGCTTTAGCCCGTGCGTTCTAGTCTTCTGTAATGATACAGAACCATTTATAAACCATCGAATGGTTCTATCTGACGTGTTCAAGTTCAATATTTCTTTTTCCAAAAGAAAAAAGAATAATAATTATTCCAACTTTTGAAATTTTCTAAACGCACCCCAACGTTAAGTCCTATATTGTTTGTGTCTTCTCTCTTTTCCAAGTTCACAACACCAATCAGGAATTGGCTAGAAGGAAGAATCTCACACTCTTTATTTTGTGTTCTTGATCAACAAAGAAGGAAGTTTTTTATCTGGGTTCCTCGGATTTTGTAAAGGTAAGGAATCTGATGCTCAATTTTCACTGGGCTTGTTATTATCTATTTAATTTAGATGACCATCTTGCACTATATTGTGTTTGAAACCATGATGATTTTTCTGGATTTGAAGCTATAAGTCCTTCGTTTTGGTCGAATGTTATGCCTATCTTTGTTGTCTGAAGTGTGCCAGAACATGCGATCATTGCAGAAATTGGTCTTAGTTTTGGGTTCGGTAAATTGGCAACATAAAAGTTTTTTGGCTTTTTGATTGCCTCTAAAATGCTTATGAAAAGTCCTGAGGAGAAATCCAAAGCTGAAATTATAAATGAAATAGCTCTCAGCGAGACTCTTTTTTGGTTAGCTAGTGGTTCTTCTGGCTTTTGTGAAACAGTGAACCTTGGTGCCTTATATTTCCTCAAATTGTAAAACTATGCATATCACTCGTTTGCATCTTTAAGAATTATGCCATTGAACTTGATGCCTTTGTTTGATACTCTGTTTGTCCCATTGGAGTTAAAAGTCATTGTAGCATTCTTTGCTATGAAGTTGGTTTGATGCTAATAATGATTTGTAGGTTGGTTTCACTTATGTTTATATATGCCCAATGAACTGCTATAGGCAAACTGCAAATTGGAATATTCTTTGGCATATTAGTTACTGGTTATTGTTGAAGTTGCTCTCTTGTCTTGTATTGGCTTAAGTTGGGAGTGTTTGTTGGGTTCGCTGTTATCTTAAAACAAACACAGACAATCTATTCTGATAATTTTGTTTGTCAAACATAGGCTGCTGGTTCCTTCAATTTCCCATTAGGCTTCAAAGGATCATAAATCTTTGTTTTCTTTTTTCTCTCCCATGAAACTCCAAAATTTCATGATCAAATCTCTTCCCCAGCATTCTTCTCGTGTAGTCTTTTCTCTCTTTCTTTTGAGTATGATATTGTACTAGAATGTTGTGTGCTGCGCTGTCTGCTTCTTCCATTGATATCTAATATCAGAAATTATTCTTGTCCTCTAACTTTTTTAATTGCTAAACCTTTCAAATCTATTATCCCTGTCAGCATTACTCTTGACGTTCATTAAACCTATACTCGTGGAAATTGCTTTATTGAAGTTAAAGCAAGAGATATCGACTCAGAAGGGAAGAAGAAAAAGATGGATTTTCTAATAACAACATTAACTAAGAAGCAACAGGTGGACTCCACTATCAAAGATACAATTGATAAAGTTCTCGTCCTCCGTTTTGGCAGAACCTCAGATCCTGTGTGTCTCCAGCTTGATGGGATTGTATGAAATCGGATGCTCTTCTTTTCCTTCCTGTATCGCTCTCAGTATTTTTCCATCTATAATGTGTTTATCTGGGAAACAGTGTAATTGTTCGTCTTCATGTGGCATTCAGCTATATAAATCAATGAGGGAGGTGTCAAAGTTTGCAACAATCGCATTGGTGGATATGGATTCAGATGATATTCAAGTTTATGTTAAATATTTTGACATAACTTTGATTCCCTCCACCGTGTTTTTCTTCAACGCACACCACATGAAAATGGATTGCAGGTATTCCATCTTAAATCATTTATGGGATAGTGTTTATGCTGCTTCACTGTGATCCATAAATATGTTTGCAATGAAAGAGTTTTTGGCGTAAAGCTTTTGATACAATTTTTATGGGTTTGGGAGACATAGGGAAAGTTTAATGTCTTTCACCCATATTCTTAGGCATCTACTTCATAGGATTTTTTTGGTGAAGTTTGTTTCTTTTTAGATAGTTTTTGCATGAGGCTTTAATCTAGAAGGCTAGAGCATCTTGGTTCATTCTCTATTTAAGAGGGAAAAAAGTGTTTAATAATAGTAGTGTTTGTAAATTGTATTCACTCCAGTAGTATCCATCAGGTAATGCCATTATATTTTTTGCATGATGCATTTAGAAATTTGGACTCTTTTGTTTTCATTTAGGATATACTCGCCTTAAATTACGAGCCTGTTCTTTGCTCCCATTAGGAGTTCCCGGAGGTTTTATATGCTGTTTTGTGCAGGACTGCAGATCATTCCAAGTGGGTTGGTGCCTTCCACAGGAAACAAGACTTTATTGATGTTGTTGAGGTGTGTCTTTGTCACTTTTTACTTATTCCAGAATTTCCGTGCAATTGTTAATGGCATTGTCTGCATCATTTTCAACTGCTGCAATTCTTGATACACTGAATGGAAGAACATTTCTCAAATTTCATTGAAATAGAGTTGAATTTAGAAACTTTAATAAATAGATTTGAAAGAAAGAAAATCTGCATTAGATTCTAATTTACTGAAGATTATGGTGATGGAAATGAAATTGCTAGGAATTTCTTGATCTTACATCTCCATTTTCGGTGGACAATGGTTTCATGTTCCATTAGATACATTGTCATGCCTACAACTTCATGACATTTCGACTCTGCCTTTATCTTTGACATCGTCTAATCTGAATGGACAAGGTTTTGTGTAAACATGCTTCGACATTCTAGTTTTCATGCTGTGGAATATAGCTGTCGCCAACTTAGGTTGAATTTTTCTTTTTTCCTTTTTGGTTAAAGGGTTGAAATTTTCAGTTTGCTGATACTGAACCATAATCTTATCCTTACTGCTTTTTGTTTCGTTCCTTAATGCTTCATATGGAACATAAGCCAGTGAAGGAAGTTGTGTGGCGAGCATATGCAATTAACAGATATGCAACCTTGGGCGTTGATAAGTGAGGCGAAGTTGAGACATTTTCTTTTTCTTTAGTGGACGAAGATTGCTCGTGTTTATTAAATTTCAAAGTTCTGTCAAACCTTGGAGTCTTACTTAAATTGGTTGCAACCATGATACAGCTACAGACACAGTCTAATTTTGTGTTGTTTACACTTATTAATCATTTTGTCTCTTTAAGACCTAAGATCTGGTCAACTGCCTGCTGCTTGATTCTTTTTCTTATTCAAAACAAAATTTGAGAAAATACATATTATAACTAGATTAATACAATGCATTGCAACAGACACCTTTCACCAAACTCGTTATTTTCTTTGTATTGTCCGTCTATTTAGTAGCTCTTCAGTTTCATGACAAAGCTCTTTGGACAAATAATTACAGACAGTTAAAAGATTTCAATTGTTGCGTATGCACTGAAATTTTCCTACCAGTCTATATCATATTATCATGTCAGCTGTTTCTGGGTTGGTGGGGTGTAACCTCCTCTGAAGAAATGACAGAAACAGGTTTGCTGTGCTTCACAATGTTCATGTAAAGCTGATTGTTCACTGCAGGCAATTTACAGAGGAGCGATGAAAGGCAAGCTCATTGTGCCCTGCCCCTTACCTCCTGAGCGCATACCGAAATTTCAGTTACTATATAGGGACGTCTAGAAGCTGCTTTACGGCTCACTTCTTTTGATAAGGTTTTAACATTTTTCAATAATGCCTGTTTTCTAGTCCATGCAAGAGATCAAGCTTGATGTTGATCAAAATATGTGACCTTATTTTCTGCTCCTACTGCACTAAATAGAAGGTATATTTGATATATTGCAAGATGTATGTGCAGACATTTTTTCTGGAAGAAGAATTAAAGTTAAAAGGCTAACAGGTGGTATCCGTTTCTTTCTAAGTTGATATTATTGTTAGAGCAAAATTTGACCTTCAAAGTTTACTTCTTTTATGAACAAAATTTTGACCACTCCTAGATGCAACGTGTATTCTAGATTGCATTTGCGCTAATAGATATCGTCTTATCTATCTCTTAAGCGTTAAAGCATCTAACTCTCCCAAATCCAATTACAATTTGGAACTATGGATTTATTTTTAATGCATTTCATTTCAATTCCTTAACTTGCAACTAATAAAGAAAGGGGGAAAAACACAAAAAGAGAAGATGCGCAATCAAAAGTTTGTATCAGGAAGAAATACTAGATCTACCTATAAGATCGCTTTTTATGACTTCAAATAACATTTCATTCCAGGTGTCGACGGGACCAGGCATGCACCAATGCAAGCAATCCTGAGGCGGAGGCTTCCCGTCTGGTCCTCTTTTAGTAATCTTATTTGGGTCAGTGTTTCTGTAAGGACCCGGATGGCCGTCGTGGCGATAACCGAAAGCTTCTGTAATGTCCATCAGTTTTAACCTAGATTTGTTGGTGATCGTCTTTGCTGCCCGGCTAAAACCTCAGACTTGTTGATTGTGCATTTTGGTGGTGAACTCATTTTCAATTATTTCACCGGTCTTTATTGGCCAAACTTTTCCGGTGCATGATCCTCCGGTATTCCAAGCTCCTCGTTCATAATGATCAGGCGAGAAGGTGCGGACAATGGTTAGTCCACAGTAATTTGGATGTGTAACAATGGCAGAAAGAATAGTTTCGACTGATATTCGGAAAGCTTCTACTAAGTCGACTTTCATTTCGCGAGACTTTGGCCACCATGAAGGGCTTCCTCCCACAACCGTGTTGTTTAAGACATACGCAGACTTCCTTCCAAACCAGTGGCCTGAGGAAAGGACAAGTACATCAAATTGTGGAAGGAATTGCATTAACTGTTCATCAGGAACATCAAGTTGAAGGTTATTTAATCCATCAGGAGCAAGATCAAATTTGTCTGATGTCGAATTTACAAGCCAGGAAGACCATATCCGGATGATCATTGTCGAGGTTGATGCAAACTAGTATCTCTGCATTCCATAGTTCTCTTGATTTCTTGGAACCTCAGCCTATAAAGTTAATCAATTTTTGGAAGGTAAGTTTTCAACATCAATTACTTTGCCTATTACTGGGCGCATGAATCGTGGCTTTTCCGAGTAACCTGCCAGAGAATGCAGATCAAGGACTCCATTTGGTTCCGAGTGATGGAGTCTCCAACAAATGCTAAAGTCTTTCCCCTCATTACATGAAGGAATTTCCGGGCATCAAATCGGGGAAGATTGCAATCGTTAGGTTTCCACCGCCAATTCTCATAGTCTTTGTCGGGTCTTCCATTTCCTTGGCAGTTCTGTGTTTGGGTCAACACAGGACAAGAGTCATTCTTGTACAATGGTCCCCGCGAATCGTACATCCATTGCCCGTGGAAGAGACCGCATTCTGCAACAGGTTCATGCATCCGCACGTAAAAAAAGATGATGACAATGTTGGCAAATGGTCTGCATTTAGTGAAGGATATTTCATCACTAAGCAGTTACGACGCTAATTTTACAGCTAGAGTTGTACCTGAATCCGCTGAATCGTCCTGTATTGAGTTGTTTGGAACAGGGGTTGTAGGCTTCACATAAACTAGAGTCACTTGATGGCAGCAGTTGAGTTGACTGATCCTTCTGATGATGCTGAGCTACCGAAAAATGCATTTCAGCAGTTTCTTGCTGCATCGAAGGAGTAGTGTTGTTCTTCTGGCCTGCACCGGTTAGGCGATTCTTGACGCCGTAGAAAATATCATTCCTTGTAATCCATGCAGACCATGAAGATATCATCTGAGACCAAGCAAGAATCAAGAAAAGAGCGGCCAGACCTCCAATCCAAACAGCCTTAGATAATGGTGTCGCCAGAGATTGCTTTTTAACCGAAACTACAGGCATGGCTACTTCAAAAGAAAAAGAAAAAAAAATAAAAAATCACGAGGCTTGTACCTTACAGACTCAAATAAGGTGGGGGTGTCTTTAAGATGGGGCAAATTAAAGCAGAAAGCGTATTAAATTAGATGAAGTAATGAAAGTAATTATCTATGAAATAATATTTCTTTTCCCACATGATCAAGAGCATATATGTAAATAGCTTCAGCTACTCCTTCCAAAAAAAAGCTTCAGCTGCTCAGTATGACCATCAAATCATACTCATAATCCACTGATTAGAAGAGGGATGATTGGTATCCTAATCATGATTATACTCTCAAGCACTTGGAGCACTTGTTAATATGAAAAATTATAGCCGGCGGTAGAGTTGCAAGATTCCCCGGCAAACGTGTGTTCATGATCTTTCTATATATATATATATATATATACATATAGATATATATATATATATATATTTGGACTGATGATACTTTTGTCGCCAAATTGTGATAAAAATTGGTACGACTTGTCGCCAAGTTGACAACGTGGAATCACGGTAGTGGCAAGATTCCTCAATGGTAATCTCTATCATTACGAAGCAAATAATCAAGTAAAAAGAATGCACACAAAGTCATAAGATATTAAGATTGATGAGCTTAATTTTCAGTGATGCAAAAACAACAAAACTGAAAACAAGCCAAAAATTAACCAAACAGAAAATGGCAGACATGTAATTGAAAGTAACCTTGTTTGCGGGCCGGGAATGAGGATTGTTTTTTTCCTTTTTTTCTCTATCTTAAAAAAAAAGGAGTATTATGTAATACACGTACAAATATTTTATTTGCATACTTTTGCATTCTAAAATTATGTAAATATAAATCAATTTAAATAATTTACCTACACGTGCAACTTAGTGGGAGATTTAGGGTGGCCGATTTATTTTGGTACTAATTAGGTTTTTACTACTTAATGTATTAATTTTACGTAAATTAGGCTAAATTGTTTGGTTTATTTCTCACCATTGTGTTTTGAGCCAATCATAACAATCTAAATTTAAATTAGAACTAGAATTATCCTCGTGCGTTGTACGGATTGTGTTACATGTATTCCGTAAAATTGTAAAATTATGATCACAGGTGATCGTCGTAAGATGATAAAGTTTGTGTCATATTTTGTGATATATTAATTCTTATATCCGTTTTTTGTTGTGTAAATTATATTAATCTTTTTTAATCTTTCATATTTAAGATGGTGTACATTTTGAAAGGTAATATATTGGTATGACTCATTCGTTGTAAAATTTTAGAAGTAATAATCGATAAAATTGATAATAATTTGGTCGTAAATTTAGTAAACTAAAAACTGAAAGTTTTAGTGAACTCAAAAGGAAAAAAAGAAATGTAATATATATAGTGTTTTATACAACATCTCTTTAGTAATATCTTTTTGTTAGATTTTCCTGAAAAAAAAAATACTATATTTTATATATACTTGGTGGTTTTACATCCATTTATGATTTTATTTTTTAAAGTTCCACCACATTGAACTTTGCTTAAAATGTGTGAAAAATTATTCTTAGTAATCAATAAACAAGGTAAAAATAATTATCAATGAAAAAGATGGGGTTTCTATTATTAATTATGTAGATTGGCAAATATACATGGAATGTAATAAAGATAGGTGAAATGCATGGGTGAAAAATAAATTGAAATAACTAATTTACAATAAAATTTAACACTTTAATGAAAGAGAGTCTTTAGCATTGATAGGTGTCAAAAAAAGACTCAAAATTTGACATGTGACAAAGAAGTCTCTGAACTATATAATTAAGTGACACGTATCAATTGAAAACTTTACGTTAATATACAACTAGTGTTTACCCCGCACGTTGTACAGATTGTTCAAGATATATATGAACTTATTGATTTAACGATTATATGCCATTTCTGACGGAGTATAATATGTAAAAGAATAATATTAATAATATAAATTACAATTGTGTAATTTTTATTGTCAATATATTTGTTATTTTAAGTGCATTTGGAATAAATTTGAATATTCTAAATCATCCAATGTAACTTGTTGTCCATCTTTCTCATTTTGTTGATTTATGGATTTATATAATGATCTCTCTTAATATAATATATAATATATTAAAAAATATATTATTGTATATAATAGAATTATTAAAAAATATATAATAGAATCAATTATTATATTATTGAAAGTTTGGCCGTTTAATATATAATTATATTATAGTATTATTATTATTTTTTAAAAAATTTCTACACAACGTAATCAACAATAATCATTTATTAATATAGCCAGTTAACGAGCAAAAAATATATTATCATTACAAAAGTTTGTAATCGAAACACTAACAATTGAAATAAAAACCAATACACTAACCAATAAAAAAATTAAACAAACATGATTAATGGTTATACTTTAGCAAACAAGTATAGAAATCAATACTGAACTTCTATCCAAAAAATAAAGCATTCCATCCTTCAACTTAATAAGTCAGCAACTAAACGACTAAATAGCCCTAAAGCCAAAAAGAAAATTAACCAACAAATAAATAGCCTCAAAACCGGCGAGAAAATAGTACTTTCAGTAAATTTGCTGACGAAACCATCGCCAATAATAACATACTCCCTCCAATCCTTAATGTAAGACATTTTATAGTTGTCTTAAGTTTTACTTAATACGTATTTTTAATCGACAAAAAAATTTTAAAAATATATTTTCGCATTCGTTGTATTCACTTAATTGTTAGAACATATTTTTTATTTTTTTATTATTTAAAAATAAGTATTAGGTGAAATTTAGGACAAATCAAAATGTCTTATATTAAGAACCAGAGGGAGTATTATTCAATTGAACCATGCTAAAATAAAAAACCAAACCAAAAAAACATAATAAGATGAAATTAGTTGGTGAACGAACTTTCGGCCATTGGAACTTAATCCTCGAAGATTATGTACGTAGGAGAGGTCTCACCTATTACCACAATCTATAAGATTTATTTTCAGGATTTTCCTAGGTTTTTTTTTTCGCCACCACTAATCATCAAAAGGTCTAGTAAAATTCAAATAGTGATTTGTTTCTTCCCCTAAACATGATATATAGCGAGGGAGTTGCTTTTAAAATTATAGAAGCAATACTTATTATTGATATAAAATAGTGTTTTTGGGAAATATTAAGAGGAAACACTTTCGAGTACAACTTTACATTAAAAAATTGTAAACCTTTGACGAAGCATGCTGCACGGTGCCTAGGACGGGCGGCGATCATGACCTAGGCGGCAGCAAATGGTTTAAAACCTGCAAGACAGAGACTCGGGTGTCTCCTGAGGGTAGACTCTCCGATGGTTAAGTTAATAAGGGAATAGAGATAATAGAAAGAGAGGAATGTGTGTCGTGTGTAGAAGATGTAGAAGATAAGTAGAAGATATGAATTATGAGAGAGGCACCACCTCTTTATATAGAGGTGGTGTTACCTGTTTCCTGAAACCTAGTCGTATTAGGTTTAGGCAGTGATTTAATCTCCAAGTAACCTAATCCTAGGCCCAATAGACCTAGGGTTAATTTATGACTCGTCAAGTGCCCGTAGCAAGCCATATTCTCTAGACTTGATGAGAAAGATATGGGTTGCTACAAGTGTTGATGTCTTCTCGAGTTTCGTGGTGTTGCCCCAGTTCTCGAACTCTTTCGTTCTCGGGTATCACCTATATAAGATAAAGATAATAAAATGCCTAGAGGAGGTCTTTGTGTTAGCGAGTTCCTTATTAGAAGGGGGAAGCCTGTTTATGCTGAATTAGGAGGATGGCATCTAGATTCTCTTATTTGAAGGGGAGAAGCCTTTTTTCTCTTATTTGAAGGGAAGAAGTCTATTTTCTCTTATTTGAAGGGGAGAAGCCTTTTTTCTCTTATTTGAAGGGGAGAAGCCTTTATTGCCTGTCGTGTAGGTCTTTCGTCGATTTCGATCTCGAGATAAATTAATTATTCAAGAAAGTGTTACCTCGATTCCGAGAAGATAGTTGTTGAGTAGATAAAAGTCGAGATACATCTTCTCGAATACTTCAAGGAGTATTATTGTGCTCGAGGTATGCTTGCCCCTTCGAGGAGATGTCTCTCTCGAAACTTCAATCTTCGAGGTTGCCCCTTGCTAATTGTTCTTCTCGATCAGCTATGGAGCGAGTGCAGCTCCTCGATTATCTGTGAAATCGAAAGCTTCTTTGTGCTACTTGTCGGCTGACGTCTTCTTGGCCAAACAAAGATAAATTTTTGCGTGATCTTCTAGTTGCAAAATCGGAGCAACGAATTAACACCGTGGCTGCGAAAGATACAAAAGATTCCATGCTTCGCTAAGAAATTTATTTGTTTGTAAGGACCAAACAAATCGGTCCCACTGGGCGTGCCACTTGACGAAGCATGGATCTGCATGGTGCCTAGGACGGGTGGCGATCATGACCTAGGTGGCGGCAAACGGCCTAAAACCTGCAAGACAGAGACTCGGGTGTCTCCCGAGGGTAGATTCTCCGATGGTTAATTCAATAAGGGAATAGAGATAATAGAAAGAGAGGGATGTGTGTCGTGTGTAGAAGGTGTAGAAGATAGGTAGAAGATATGAATTATGAGAGAGGCACCACCTCTTTATATAGAGGTGGTGTTACCTGTTTCCTGAAACCTATTCGTATTAGGTTTAGACGGTGACTTAATCTCCTAGTAACCTAATCCTAGGCCCAATAGACTTAGGGTTAATTTATGACTCGTCAACCTCTTGAGTGCAATTTACAATTTTAACCAATATTGCAATTTTACACTCTTGCGTGCAATACTTAATACGATTTTTACACTATTGCTTATATAAATTTACCAATAAGGGGTAATTCTCTATTTAATTTAGTTTAATCTATAAATCTATAATTTTATATTAAAAATTACCATTAAATGATGGAGTGATGTGGTTGCAACATGTGGACTTGGTGTATATAATTTTTTGTCACGTGGATTCGCCTATCCAATTTTGCC